TATCCCTCCGGTCTCCCTCCCCAGCTCATGCACATCCCTGCTGCCCCCCCCCCCCGATCGCTCTCATTCCCTGACCTGGTCCTTATCGTCCCCAAACAACCACCTGCTCGCTCACACCCACTCCCTCGCATTCACACACCCGCTCCCCGCCCCCCAAGACCCCCGGGGGTGTCCCACCTCCTTGGAGGTGCTGCTCTCCAGGTCGGTGGTGGCCATCACCTCGCGCAGCTTGGCCCGGATCATCCGCTCCGTCGTCTCCCCTGCGGTTGGCCTGAGGCACAGAGACGGGAGGGTCGGCAACGCTCTCGGCCCACCAGACTCGGCCCCAGACACCACCGGAGCTGGGCCTCCCCTCCGTGTGTAAATCCGATCGTGCCCTCCTCGAGCTCTACCTTTCCCCAAGACAACTTAATCAATTTGGAACGGAAACAAATGGTGCCCTGGGAGCAGTACGGGGACGGGCTCTTTTGTTACGAGCAGAGCCTCTCCCGGCAGCAGTGCCTGCTCAGTTCTCCTGAGAAGTCTCCTCTGGTCCCTGCTGGCTGTCCAACAGTGGTGCAGAAGAGGGGCCTCACGGGGGACCTCACGGGGGACCTGAGACTGACTGGCCAGGGCCGCCCCCCCCCATCTCCCCATGCTTCGAACGGCTGCACAGGGCAGGAACCCCACATCGTCTACGACGAGCCCCAGGGAAGGCAAAACGGCGTCACTGACTGGTCTGAGGAGACGGCAGGAGAACTGGGCCGCACAGACTCCAGGCCAGCCATGGCCAGCCACTCGTTAATGCAGCTCTGCTCAGAGGCCACCGCCTTCTGGTACCACTCGGTCCAGCTCAACGCACTGGCACCTGGGAAGTTATTGTTGACGGCTGCTTCACCGCACGCCTTGTGCAGTACTTGTAGGGCTGACCTGGGAGCCGAGGTGAAAGAACAAGAGAAACAGTCAGATGTCACAGAGAACACCGAGCAGCAGCTGAAGCACTCGAGATGCCCAAAGGAGGGGGGCGCCCCTGTAATGCTGGCTCCACCCACAACGTCTGGAACTGAGCACCAGTGCAGAGTGCTTCAGACCCACAAAAGGAGGAGGAGGAGGAGGAGGAGCCCCTCCCGCCCAGCTCCCTCCCCTGCCCTCCCAAGGAAGCTCCCGTCTTTTGCCACCAGAGAGATTCGGCAGACGTCTCTTCCCACACCCTTCTCCTTCTCCCCTCACCCAACACCCTTCCTTACCACATAGTCTGGACAGAGATGGGCTTAAAGATGCGTGTCTGCCCCCCCGAGGTCACACTGAATCCGCTAGAGGAATAGAAACAAAGAGTTGATTTTACAAGGGAAAAAAACCCCCAAGGAAGGTGGTCTATAAAGGCGGGCAAAGAAGTCACAGGGCTCGTTTTGTAGCAGGAACTCCTTTGCCTATTAGGCGACACAGACCCTAATGTAGCCAATCCTCCAAGAGCTTCCAGGGCTCTTCTAACAGGGGCTGCTACTGTAAGCTCTTGGAGGATTGGCTACATTAGGGTCTGTGTCGCCTAATAGGCAAAGGAGTTCCTGCTACAAAACGAGCCCTTGCTCACTTCTAAGCCGTGGAGTCTCGTGAGCAAAATTCCTACTTTGTGAGCTACTGGCATTAAAGTTGTGAACGAGCAATTTGGCTACTGCATCAATTAGTTTGCTCTGGAGCCATCCTTCCTGAGCTGAGACAGAAATGTGTGAGCCAGAGGCTGAAAAACTGTGAGCTAGCTCACACTATCTCAGCTTAGAGGGAACACTAGCTGGAACTGCGGTGTAACTGCCTTGAGAGATTTCATAACACCAGGTCCCATTTGTAGGCAGGAAAACTGGGCTTTTTCTACCCCCAGGATCTAAAAGTCAAGTTGGTGTCTTGTGTAATGGCAAAAGTGGCCTTAGTCTAAGAATTCTAAAAATGGATTGTACCAGCTAAAGTCAATGTGCTAAGCATCCTCGCTCTGCACAGCACAATCATGCTAGAAATTCTAAGCATTCATACACATACAGAAATTCTATTCTTACCATAAAATCTTTTGCAGCAGGGAGAGACCAGTTGAAAAGTTGGAACTTAGTACAAGTATACTGGGGCCTGACAACAGTCAGCTAGTAATCATGTCTCTTGGATAACCCGTTGCCAAGGAAAAAATGGATTTGAATACAGTAGTTCATGATTCTGCCTGGGGGGAGGGGGGAAGCTGAGAAAGTGAGCTGCAGAGCATTTATGCAATTTTAGAAAGTAAACATGAAAGCAGCTGGTATTGCTTAGCACGTGACTGGGTGGAATGGGAATGAGGCTTGTGTTGCAGGTTCATCCTCAGTCCCTTGAAATGTGGCTTGCGACCTTCCAACAGTTGTTACACTACACTGGGCAGAACGTCAGAGAGAGGGGCAGGCTCAGGGGTAGAGCACCTGTTTTCTTTGCATGAGTTACCAGGTTCAACCCCCACCATCTCCAGTTAAAACAATCAGGTAGCAGGTGATGTGAAAGCCCCCTCTGTCAGAGACCCTGTATAGATAAGGACACCTGAAATTTACTTGCTTGTGCCTGTGACCTAATGGGTACCTATTTTCCTGTAAGAAGATCTAGGATTTTAGATATAGTTGACTTAGGAACATGAAGAAGCCAATGTTGGATCAGGCCAGTGGCCCATCCAGTCCAACACTGTTGCACAGTGGCCAAAAATACCAGGTGGGGCCCTCCCACTGTTGCCCCCCCCAGAATACAGTGCATCACTTGCCCCAGACTGAGAGTTCCTATCTATACCTTGTGGCTAATAGCCACTGATGGACCTCTGCTCCATATGCTTATCTAATTCCCTCTTTCTTTCTTTTTTTAAAATATTTTTATTGGGTTTTTTGATCTAATTCCCTCTTGAAGCCGTCCATGCTTGTAGCCGCCGCCACCTCCTGTGGCAGTGAATTCCATGTGTTAATCACTCCTTGGGTGAAGAAGTACTTCCTTTTATCTGTTCTAACCCAACTGCGCAGCAATTTCATTGAGTGCCCAGGAGTTCTTGTATTGTGAGAAAGGGAGAAAAGTACTTCTTTCTCGGTCTGCTCTATCCCATGCATAATCTTATAGACCTCAATCATGCCACCCCTCAGTCGTCGTTTCTCCAAGCTAAAGAGCCCTAAGCGCTTTAACCTTTCCTCATAGGGAAAGTGTTCCAAACCTTTTATCATTCAAGTTGCCCTTTTCTGCACTTTTTCCAAAGCTATAATATCCTTTTTGAGGTGTGGTGACCAGAACTGTATGCAGTACTCCAAATGAGGCCGTACCATTGATTTATACAGGGGCATTATGATACTGGCTGATATGTTTTCAATTCCCTTCCTAATAATCCCGAGCATAGTGTTGGCCTTTTTTATTGCAGTCGCACACTCTCTAGACATTTTCAGTGAGATATCTACTACAACTCCAAGATCTCTCTCTTGTTCAGTCTTTGCCAGTTCAGACCCCATCAATGTGTATTTATATTTAGGATTTTTTGCTCCAATGTGCATCACCTTGCACTTGGCCACATTGAACCCTATTTGCCATGTTGACGCCCACTTGACAATCCTTGACAGATCCCTTTGGAGTGCCTCACAATCCTCACTGGTTTTCACCACCCTGAACAACTTCGTATCATCCACAAATTTAGCTACTTCACTGCTTACTCCCAACTCCAAATCATTAATGAACAAGTTAAAAAGCAGTGGAACAAGTACTGATCCCTGCGGTACCCCACTGCTTACCACCCTAAACTGAGAAGATTGCCCATTTATACTCACTCTCTGTTTTCTATTAATTAGCCAGTTTTTGATCCACAAAAGGACTTGTCCTTTTATCCCATGACTATTGAGCTTACTTAAGAGCCTTTGATGAGGAACTTTATCAAAAGCTCTCTGGAAGTCAAGGTAAACAACATCTGTTGGGGGGCCCTTGTCCACATGTTTGTTCACTCCCCTCAAAGAACACTAACAGGTTCATGAGACAAGATCTTCCCTTACAGAACCCATACTGAGTCTGCCTCAATAGGTTTTGTTCATCAATGGGCCTACTAATTCTTTCCTTAATAACGGTTTCCACCAACTTATTTCTCCCTAATGAGGACCCAAAGTGGCTTACATTGTTCTCTTCTCCGTTTTATCCTCATAACGTAGGGGACTGAGGGTCAAGCTACACAACGAAACTTCTAGCATGTTGCAGTCTAGCACACACACCCTTCCCCCACACTATGGTACTGAGCAGAATTGGGCCTTTGTAGGCTTTTAAAATGCAGTTAAAAGTGAGCTGGAAAACCTGGATACAACTCACTAGAAATCACGTCATGATTCAGACTTAGCAGAAGGTAGCCCTGGGCAGCCTCTTAGGATGAGCATGGGGGGGGGGGGAACAGCCTATGTGGGAAAAGAATGGAGAAAAGTTGGTTTCAATTTAGACAGTAGGGCAGGGGACGGCTTAATCCAGAAGCAACCTCAAATCCCCTTCTTTTAGCTGTTCTGGATAAACTTCATGCCACTTCTCTCTGTGGATATAATTATTAACTAAGATCAAGGAAGAAGACATCTCCTATTTATTCCACTTCAGGCTTGGTACAAACATTATCAGGACACACACACACACACACACACACACACACACACACACAAAGGGACCCCTCCCACTATCCTGGGCTGTTTGTCCAGGCTTTCACAAGGATGACAGGGGGCTGCATTGGGGAGGGAGGCGTGACTAAAAAGGTCTCTTACCCATCGCCATCGAGGAAGACCTGGGTGTCCCTCCAGAGTGGCAGCACCATCCCCAAGGTGCAGGCAGCCGAGCTGGGGGGGAGAGGCAGAGAAGAGGTGACTTGCAGGAGGTTAGGGATGTTGTAAAATAGTCAAAAGTGTTTAATACTCAGACTATTAATGGATCTTGCTCTATTGGAAAGAAGAGATTTCTTTGCTTTTAAAAACCTTAATTTCTAAGGATAAAAGGTATACGAAATTACTACAAAGTAACATAACACTAACAGCTACATTTTCTAAGCTGCCTATAGTCAAACCTAGCACACAGATAATGGAGAATCTCTCCTTCTTCTTGACCCCTAGAAAGGAAGTCACCTGAAACAAATGACCAATCTGTATCACAGTAGAAAGCTACTTTTCCCAGGCTAATTCCCCATTGGCTCAATGCCAGGTATCCCTTCCAGGTCAGTCAAAACAATAGCAATACTAGGCAAACATGTTAACCCTATAATGACTGAATTGTCAGACCTTGTAAACACATACATTTCCAACAAGGGAGAGGGGTCACCGCCGGGGATTGTTCTTGGGGGTGGGGTTTGGAGTGGGGACGTCCCAGTGTGATGTCATAATGTTGGGGATGCCCCATCCCCTCCAGGAACACCCCCCCCAAGTCCCCCTCTGGGGACAAAATTGGACCTGGCAACCCTATTATAAAATCAGAACCTGCAGCCCATGTCTGTGCATGGACACTCAGGAAAAAAGACCTGGTAGGTGCAGCACGACTGACATCAAAGTTAAGTGTCCACCAGGTTATGCCCTGTGAGATTTAGATCCAGGCCTTGCTAAAAGACACTGAACAGGGAAGATACAAGAGAAGCAAATACAAGCCACTGAGGGGCTTTCCTGACTAGATCTGCACTTCTGTCACTGCAACAGGAAGCTAAACTTTTGTGCCTTCTAGTATTTTATGTTCCCCTTTGTGAAATTAACAGGGCAGCCTCATGCAGAGTCACTCTAGCCTCAAGTCCACTGACTCTGCCTCCTTTGCTCCTGCACATTCCCCAGCCCATCTCCTCCAGCCCACTCGCTTGCCCTCTCACCCTTCTTCAGGGAAATCCACTCCAAGCAGCACCATCTCACTCTGGCTCTCCATCTCTGATGCTGACACAACCAGCAGGTACCGGATTCTGTAAGCCCGAGCTGACTCCAGCCTCACAGCCTGTGGAGAACAAAACACAAACACTCATCGCACAAGTGACCCTGAAGGACATCTACGTACCTCAAGGAGATTTTCCTGCATTAAGAGCTATAGTGCTATCCCCAGATTCAAGGGCTGCCAGCTTGTAACATACTATTGTCTCCGAGGCCAAAGCTAAAACTTGTGTGTACTTACATTAAATACATGCACACATAGGCGTAAAGTTAGTGGGGGAGTCAGGGCGTCAGCCCTCCCCCCGAAATTTTCAGGAAGGGGCTCAGCCTCCCCCGGGGGCAACTGGTTCCTGCCACCCTTGCTCCCCCCACCCCATTCTGAAACTATGTTCAGCGGCTGGGTTGGGACTGGGAGGGAAGGAGGGAAGTTAGGGCGGGGGCTTGCTTTTTCCTGGAAGTTAAGCCCCACCCTCAGCTCCCAGCAGCCCTTAGTTCAGCCGGGCTTCACGAAGAGTCTGGTTTTCCTGGTTTCCTGCGCGCGCGCACAAAGGTAGGAAGCATGCTTGCCCGGGCTCTCCCTTACTTCTGAGTCCCCGAGGTGCATTCGTTCAGCCCGCCTCTCTACCCCCCTCACCCAGCTACCAGTAAAATCAGCGCGGACCGGGAGGGGAACTTGGCCTGGCGGACTTGCCCTGCTGAAGGGAGTGCCGAAGCTCAGGGGCTGCAGTCCCTCCCACATCCCGGACGGCCTCCATGGCACCTCCTCCACTTCTTGTGCCCGGCTGCTGCCTTCCTCTGATTCCCCTTCGCTGCTGCTCTTGCTGCTGCACGCTGGGACCAAGTTGGCCGGCTTTGTAAGGGCATGGGTGGGGTGGGGGCCTGAGAGAGGGCAGTGTTCAGTGAGCCTGAGGCTGAGTAGTCCGAAGGAAAACTGCCTTTGCTCTCTTTGGAATACCCTTCCCGTCCTCCCCACCCATCTGTTGTGCTGCTTTTATTCTCTCTCTCGCCCCGTTTTTACCCACCTTCAGTTGTACTTCAGTTTCATCTGAGTGTGTGAGTGCCCCCCCCCCGCCCGGGCTTCTACTCTCTTTTTATTCCCCTTCTCCCCCCTCCCCCCACTTGGGCTGCCTCTTCATATAAATATGTGTGTTTTCTCCCCCTCTTTTGTTTCTTTGTTTTTAAAATCCCCCCTTTCCCAGTGTTTACTTTTGTGGCGTTTTATAGTGTTCTCTGTCACATTATGCCATGGTGCTGATCTGGTTTGAGTCGCTGGTATAGTGCACACAGTGGCTGTATGCAAAGTGCATCTCTGTTCTGTTCCCAGGGGCTGTCATTCCATTCAGGGGCCTGTCATTCCAGTCCC